ATATATATATATATATATATATATATATATATATATATATATACTCCTATCTTGGTCAGATACCATAGAATGCCCAAAAGTCTGAAATATAGGAAAAATCATAGATTACACTTTTTTCCTTCAATTTGAATCCATTGTCACCAAATTTAGAGGTCAATGAAGGGTGTTGAAGCTGAAAGAAAACACTTCCTATCATCTAGACATAAAACTATACATTATTTGTCAGTTTATCCTATATTTCCAGACTTTGGGACACTGTGTAAGCTCTATTACTAACACTACTCCTCTATTGTTATAGTGTTATTCTTTTACCCAAGTCCACTAGCCTCAGTTCTCCTAACTATAAGTAGCTCTTCATAATCCATTACAATACTTTCCAAGACTGCCTTTTGCTATATAAAACATGAAAACATTGCTGATGTCAGAGACTGTAGTCCTAATTTCAAGAGGGTCAATTGAAAAATTTGAAAAAAAAATTAGTGGAAAAAGAAGCTTCAACAAAGTAGAATGCTTTAAATATAATCATAAACATTTCCCAGAATTAGGTAGTAGTTGATACCCTCTCCCTAATGTTTATCGTTTCTTAGAGAAAAAATATCTTGCCATATCTTTTACCAATTCATTTATGAAAAGAAGCAATTGCCAAGTCTACAGTGATGATAATTTGCTTTACATTTGTTGAGAACATACAAAATGGCAGGACTTTACATGCCTTACCAGATTTAATCGCCTCGCATGTATATGAAGTATATTACGGTACTTGACTTTGTCTGGGGTTACACAAACTCATGCAAATAACACAAAGTTACATAGTGATAAGTTGAAATTCAAACCCAAATTCAAACAACTACTGCTTCCCATTATCTGATCATGTTGTTCAACTTAAAAATGCAAAATAATACAAAACACTGCTGGACTTTAAAGGCAACAGTAATAACATGGTTTAAATTATTTTTTCTCTTAGGGAGCCTGGGTGGCTCAGTTAGTTTAGCGTCCAACTTTTGAGTTCCAGCTCAGGTCTGATCTCACAGTTTTGTGGATTCAAGCCCCTGCGAGGGGCTCTGTGCTGTGCAGAGCCTGGCCAGGATTCTCCACTATCCCTCTCTCTGCCACTCCTGCTTACTCTCTGTCCTTCTCAAAATAAATAAACTTTGAAAACAAAATAAAGTATATGTTATTTTAAATAAATACTTTTCCTCCTTAAATGAGATTAAAGATTTGTGAAAAATATTTCATTTATTTAGAGAGGAAGAATAGTGCTGTGGTTATTACAAATCCTAACAAAACATATTTATAATTTAATCATATGAAAATATCATATTGAAACAATGGTAGGGGGGGCACCTGGGTGGTTCAGTTGGTTTAGCGTCTGACCTTGATCTCAGCTCAGGTCATGATCATGGTTCATGGGTTTTGAGCCCCATGTTGGGCTCTGTGCTAACCACATGAAACCTGCTTGATTCTCACTCTCTTTCTCTGCCCTTCCTCTGTGCTCCTGCTCTCTCAGAATAAATAAACTTAAAAAAAAATGATCTGTGGGTATCTTCTTAATTTTGAAAATATGTTCCTATACATGGTAGGAAGAGTCTCCTCCTCCTCCTCTTAAACAACTTATTCTACTCCGTAGCTAAAAAACTATTTTCAGTTCATGTAATTTGATAATGGTGACAGTATTACTTTTCTATTAAAAAAAAATCAATTATCTTTAATCTTTACTATGAAAATAAACCGTTTTTTGAAAAGTCATCTGTTGCAATACATTCTATTTGAGCAGATCAATATTATCAGAAAACCTTGGCTAATAAGTAGTCTTTGCTGGTTTCTTTGTGTATACAATATTCCTAATAAATCCAAAAATACCATCCCTACTTCACTTTATTTTTTCCTGCTTCTTCAAAAAAGCCTCCTCATGTGTTACAGATTCACCCACTAGAGCTTTACTAGTTCCTTGATTAACTTCATTAAAAAATCATATAAAGAAAGTCATTTCTTTAAAAAAATACAGTGGGGGGGATGTTGAAAATAAATTGAACTATGTGTGTAGGGGCAGGGGGCTGTGGCTGTACCTTCTGCTCAGTTTTTCTTTGAACCTAAAACTGCTCTAAAACTAAAATCTATTTAAACAAGACCTGAGGCGCCTGGGTGGCTGTGGTTAAGCGTCGACTTCCCAGCCAGATCACTGATCTGGTCTGGGGTTCGAGCCAGCGTCAGGCTCTGGCTGATAGCTCAGAGCCTGGAGCTATTTCAGTTCTATGTCTCCCTCGTCTCTCTACCCTCCCCCTTCATGCTCTGTCTCCCAAAAATAAATAAGCGTTGAAAAAAAAAATTTTTTTAAAACAAGACCCCATCCCACTAAGTTCCCAAACATCACCACTTTCTAATCTTTGGTTCCTTATACTCTATGTGTCTTACATTTATTTTCCATGCTTCATGCTATGGGTTTCCTATTTCATAGCTTCAGAGTAACTCTCTCTACCCTATCATCTCTGCAAACAATGTAAAATCATCTTTGAATCATTTTGTACAGAAAGTTTAATACAATTACCAAAGAGAATGGGAGACTCCTAACACTTTGGAAGCTCAAACAAAGTGACTTTAATGTGTTTCAAGACAGCTACCATGTGTAAAATGACCCTTGTATGAAATAGAACTAATACAAGTTACTCCAGACTAGAATCAAAACAGGGATTAATTTTGGGTGGAAATGGTTGCTCTACTGGTATAATTTATAGCTGAAGCTATAATTTTAAAATAATTTTTATTATGAAATTTATACCCATTGTGAAAATTTTAAAATACAGGATAAAACAAAAGAAATACATTGACTATTTACATTATTACTGGATATTCTTGATAATCGAGAACAACTGAGAAGTTTTGCTCAATTCTCATTCAATCTCATCTTTTATTTCTTCTCTCAAACTATAAACTTAATCACTTAAATGCTTTAGCTAATAGATTAAAGCAGGAATTTCATCTTTGCCATTGTTATTCACATGACACACACACATATCTGCCCATACCAAGGTATGTCTGATTGCAAAGTATATCATTGGTACTTCCGTAACTCTTTTACTTCTAAAGAAAGCACAGTAGCACTATGGCATGCAAGTTAGTGACTGAGATGTGGATGAAGCCAGCCTTAATTCAAATGTATACAAAATAAATGTAGTTACATATAGCTCTGGCTGATTACAGGTTGACACATTTCAACCTAATCTCAAAGTCACATCATGCCTAGACATAGTGGCTGCAAGGGAAGTATTGGTTTAATGTACTGTTAGTAGTTCTAAAAGGAAATCTTTTAAAATCTTCACATAGCTTAAAAGCGAATGTCACAGAAATAGTATTTTCAAGTAATGTAAGTCAAGTTTCAAAAGAAATTAATGGAGACATTTGCTGAATAGAAGGTGGCTATTATTTATAAAATAACCATTTGTGCATTAAGAATCCCCCCAATGGCCCCAAGTTCATAGACAGGCTGCCCATTTTGGTCCACTAGATGGAATTCCATGCTGTAGAAGAGTGTGTCACCAGTGGGTCACAAGCATATTCTGTGTGTGATTGAATTGTCTACTTCCATGAGAGGTGATGGGTAAGGAATTCTGGGGAGAACCATTTTGTCCAAAGGAAGGATCCTGGAGTCCATGGGGTTAGATGCTTTTGCAAAGAGAAAAAAGCACTGGGTGTTTGTAAAAAACATAATGTCACAATTAAAAAATTTTTTTTTCTAAAGATTTTATTTTTGAAGTAATCCTCACACCCAATACAGGGCTTGAACTCCACAACCCTGATATCAAGAGTGTTATGCTCTACCCACAGAATAGCCAGTTTACCCTAATGTCTGAAAATAAATAAATAGAACATTTATCAGGCACTGGACAATAGTATGGAGAGTTCCTCAAAAGAGATTTAAATAGAGCTACCTATGATCAGTAATCACACTACCTCCAAAAATACAAAACCACTAATTCAAAAAAGGGATACATGCCTCTATGTTTATAGCAGCATTAGCTATAACCAAGCCAAACTATGGAAACAATTCAAATATCCACGATGAAGGTGGATAAAGAAAATATATATATATCCACAATGAATACTATCAGCCATAAAAGATAAAATCTTGCCATTTGCAACAACATAGGTGAAATAGAGAGGATAATACTGAGAGAAAATAGATCAGTCAGAAATACATGATTTCACACATATGTGGAATTTAAAGAAACAAATGAGCAAAAGGAAGAAAGGAGAGGGAGAGGGAAAAGGCGGAGAGAGAGAGAGAGAAGAGCAAGAAACAGGCTCTTAGTAAATAGAGAAACTGATGGTTATCAGAGGGAGGAGTCATGGTGGATGGGAGTTAAAGCAGGAGATAGAGGATTAAGGAATTGCACTGGTTGTGATGAGCACTGGTGATGTATGGAAATTCTTGAATCACTATGAATCACCTAATATAACCTGTAATATTATACCTGAAACTTAAGTAAAATAGCATGTTATAATAAAAATGGAAAGATT